TGAGCTCAGTTGCAATCGTGATGAAGCAAGGCAAATGCAAAAAAACCTTGCTGTTCCCTGACACTTGTTCTTTGGTGGTTCTTTTGAAAAGAATTTACTCCAAAGCGTGTTCAACAAGTGGGAATGATGGATCTGAATCGGATCATACTGGAGGAGAGGGACTAATGGCAGAGGGATGTTTACCATCCCTCCTCATTTTTTGGGGGATCTGCCATTTCCCTCCTCTCAGCGCTGCCTTTGTGCTTGTGTGACCTATGGGTGCAGTATATATCTATCTGTATCAGGGGTAGGCAATCTAAGGCCTGGGGGCCAGATGCAGCCCCCCGAGGCCTTTAGACCAGCCCCAAGCTGGTCCTGCCACCGCCCCCCTGCCGCCCCCCGCCATTGCTGCCGCCCACCATGATGATACTGATTATTGTTGTTATTGTTCTTGGGGTTTTCTTGGCAAAATCTCCACAGTTTTGCCATGGCTTTTCTGGGGCTGAGAGAGTGTGCATGCATATTTTTTAAATTTTTTTTAAAAATTAAAAAATATATTTTTACTTTTATTTATTTATTTATTTATTTATGGTGCTTCAGCCCCCCAATTGTCTGAGGGACAACAACCTGGCCCCCGACTCAAAAAGGTTGCCTACCCCTGATCTAGATAGATAGATAGATAGACACACACACACACCAAATTGCCGAATATATGATCCGTTGTTTTTGCAACTTGATGGCATGCTGGGTGATTAGTAGCTCAGCAAGACAAAAAGTTGCAATATCAATGGATCAAATCTTCTATCAATTTTTTTTAAAAAAAATAGTTCCCAAGCCAGGCTACTCAAAGGGGAAATGGTGTAGTTTTGTGCAGCCAAAGTCACCCCGCTCTGGCCCTGTCCTCACCGTGTCACCGATGATGCATAGATGATTGATAGACATTTTGAAGCAGCACAAATTAGTGGGAATGACAATCGTGCCAAAAAAAAAAAAAAAAAAAAGAAGCGATTACATGGGAATAATGAAAAGATCCAATTTTATAGTGGGAATGACGGACGTTTTGGAATCAATTCACCAACACGGAGCAAAGGTGAATCACAAACCAGTTTAAATGTAAGTGGGAACAAGGCCTCTTGGCTTTCTTCTGTTCCCCACCCCACTCCACCCACCCCTTTCAGTGGGTCACACATTTGAAATGGTTTAGTAAGGATGGAGCCAAAAGATATGGGTGGTTAAATTCATGCTCTCCTGTGCCTATTTTTTTTAATTACTCAGAAGCAAATCCCTTCAAATTTTACAAGTTCGCCTTGTTTATATACTATGGATTTTATTTTATATTTATTTTTTGAGATCATTGTAAACATTTTTGTTTACAGAGGCAAATGCAAAGGAATAGAAAGTGTTGTTTTGCAAAACCTCACATCATATATGAGAGCCAGTGTGGTATAGTAGTTTGAGCATTGGACTTCACCTCTAGAGACCAGAGGTTGAATCTCCGCTTGGCCATAGAAAACCACTAGTGAGCTTGAGCAAGCCACACTCTCTCGGCCTCAAAGGAAGGCAATGGCAACCCCTCTCCAAACAAATCCTGCCAAGAAAATCTGTGATAGATTCACCTTAGCATCATCAAAAGTTGGAAACAACTTGAAGGCACACAACAACAAACATATTTTCTGAATGCTGAGTTCACATTTGCAATGAACACAGCAGATTATTTCATACAAAAACAAAAAAAGGGGGACTATGGAACAGTTGGGGACTATGAAATAGTTCTCCCTTCAGTAGGAGCTCATTTTGGAATCACCTTAACAAAAACTAGAGTTCTCAATTGCTTCCTGCTATGGATACACATATGTTTAACGCAAAGAAGTATTAAAATATGTTGTGTGTGTATGCGTATGTGCCTTCAAGTCACCTGTCAACTTATGGCAACTACATGAATTTCATAGGGTTTTCTTAACAAGGAATCCTCAGAGGTGGTATTGCCAGTTCCTTACTCTGAAACATGACCTACAGCACCTGGTATTTGTTGGCAGTCTCCCATCCAAGTACTCACCAGGACTGACTCTCCTTAGCTTCCAAGATCAGACAGGATCTGGTGCCTTTAGGGTAT